AACACATGCAAAGAAGCGGGGAATCACAGCAAGAACATCAGACTTATTACGTAACAAAAAAAAACCCATGTGTATCTACTATAATCATCAACCAATGTCAAGAAAAAACGATAACTATTGTGTGTAATATGAGCAAAAGGGCCTCAAATATCAGCATGGATCATGTCAAAAGGCTCTGCAGACAAATGAGCATTAGAATGAAAAGCTAAGCTCTTCTGTTTTACTAAGGGACAAACATTACAAGAATCCAAATGAACATGTGAAAACGAGCTAAAAGATAAGGCATTCTTTAAAGCATTTAAATGGCTAAAGGAGGGATGACCAAATCGACGATGCCAAGTGTCATCAGAGACAACAGCACAAAGGGTAGGACATGGTGTGGCATCAAACAGAAACAATTCATGCTTTAAACTACCCCTGTCAATCGTCTTCGAAGTAAACTTGTCCTGGAGGAGATAATAATCATTAGAAAACTAGACCACAACATTTGGAATATCCCCTAACAACAGTCTGATGGAGACAAGGTTGTTTGTGAAACTGGGGGATATATAGAACGCCATGAAGAAAAAACATCAGTAGTAAGCCGAACTGAACTAGAAAATTCCACCAAAAACCAAGACTTATTCGATAAAGTAACATATACAGGAAAAATGGGTGAAATAACATCAAAAAGGGATTTGGAACAGCAAATGTACACAGATGCACCATAATCTAAAATCCAGGAACCAAAAGTACCTGCCACATGTGAAAGAGAAGCTTCACTATTATTAACGTTCTGAGTCGAAAACTGAGACTGCAAGAGATTGAGCAACTGCTGACACTGATGAAGAACATCAGGAGTAGACTGTATAGTTGAGGGAGACTCCATAGATTTTGGATCAATGGGCGATATAATCTGAGACGAAACATAATTAACTTGCTTAGTTTGAGCGGAAGAAGTAGAGTTACGCTGACCTTGATTCTTATAGCCCGACAGGTAGCCGTGAAGCTTGTAGCAACGTTCAATCGTATGCCCTAAAAGACCACAGTGTGTACAAACAGGACGCGTCTTTGATTTCATTGCTGAATTGGTCCTTGGAGAAGGCTTGCCTGAAGAAATAGGGTTCGGAACAGCAAGAGCATAAGAGGATGAAATCGCTGAAGGATTTGCAACAATAACACCAAGAGAACGTTGTTACTCCTCTTGATGAACAAGAGAGAAAGCCTTGTTAACAGGTGGTGCGGATCCATTAAGAGAATTTGAGCATGAGTGGAGGCGTACGACTCATTGAGTCCCATGAGGAAGTTCATCATGTATTCAAATTGCAAGAATTCAGAAATTAACTTGGCTCCTCCGCWGGTGCAAGTACAGGTGCAGATCGGCTCAATTCATCCCAAATAGTTTTAAGTTTGGTGAAATACAAACTCACAGATTGCTAATCTTGACGAAGAGTAGCAAGATCACACTTTAACTGGAAGATTCTCAAACCATTGCTCTTCTGGAAGCGCTCCTTAAGATCGAGCCATATGTCTCTTGCAGATTCTGAGAAGATAATGCTAGCAGAAATCTCATTTGAAATAGAATTGAGAATCCAAGCAATAATCACATGATTTTTGCATATCCAGTCGAGCAACAAATCTCAAGTAGGTCGAATAATGGTACCATCGATAAACCCTAATTTATTCTTCACAGAGAGGGCAATTAACATCGAACAGCTCCAAGAAGAATAATTTTCCTTCATCAATACCTGAGTAACAAGAACTAATCCGATATTACTATATGGTGAAGATAATACGGATTAGTAGAAACATTTCCGCCATTGATGATAGACTGAGAAGAGACATCAGTAGCATCAACAGGAGAAAGAATCAGTGGATCTACGAGAGAATCCGACGGAGTAGCCATGATGAAGAAGAATTCAGAATCAAGAAATGTGCCAAGAAGGCAAAAAATGGTGGGAAGAGCGGAAGTCGAAATCAAAACCCTAAAATAACATCTGATACCGTATTATATTTGATTTAGGGAGAAAACTGAATGAGTCATCACTTCATTAAACTGTGAGTCATCACTTCATTAAACTGTAAGTACAGAAAAAAAAACTCCCTTTTAAATAGTACAAGTCACGAATACAATGTGACTAATAAAAGAAACTACTAACCACTTGACTTAATATTAAAACAATAATAACTATTCTAATAGAGACATCTGAATCTGAATTGTGAGTGGAGACATCGCCAATGAGATATATGGAGTGAAGACACCGACGGTGAAGCAAATCTGAAGTAGAGACACCAAGGATGAGTATATCTAAAGTGAGGACCCTAGATGAGGAAGATCTATGGTGGAAAACAATGACAGTGGGAAAATTTGAAATGGAAATACCAAGATGAGGTAGGATCTAGAGACGTTGGCTTGAAGATTGGAACATCAATGAGGCAAATCTAAAGTTGAGACACCGGAAGATGAGATAAATCTAAGGTGTAGATGTTGGGTCAGTAGTGGATCTGCGATGATGAGGAAGATATAAGTAGAGTTGCTGATGATGGAGATTGGAGAGAGAGACAGAAAGAAGAGAAGAGGTGGAAGAGATTAGTACAGTTCCGAAAAAACTCGTCTTCATTTTTTTTTTCTGAAAACTAACACCATCATTGTTCAATCGAAATCTACAACCCTAAACCCTAGCCTACTTATAATAAGTCCATTCGCCGGAAAACTAAAAGTCAATCCTCGCAAAGATGTTAAACTAACGAAAACTATACAAACCTCGACAATTTTAGCTTCGAAGATTCCAGAAGAAAGACGTGCACGCACGGAGTGAGTCCAGTCGAGGAAACTAAAAAGTTCGAATAAGAAGAAGAGAAGAAGAAATTATAAACGGAAGACATATAAATGAGGAAAGGGGAAAAAGGAGAGACTAGTTCACTTAAAATTAGGGGTATAATGGTAAAAACACATTTTAAAAAAATCAAATAAATATTATTTAGTTCTAATTTGAGCAATTTGAAAAACATTTTAGATTATTTTTGTTAATTTCGTTGTATATATCTACCTTATTCTTTTTTACCATTCCTCTCGTTGACCCTTTCAAACTCGAGAAATTTGACTCAAAGGCGTTCTGTAGGACCTTTTTTGTTTTTTAAGCGCCCTTTTGAAAACAAAAGTTTTCTAGTCATTTGATAATATGAAATTACATATTTACCCTTCTTTCACTATTTCTCTATCTCATTTTTCAATTTTCTCTCTCTTTCATTATTATTTCTCTTTCTCATTCTTCAACTTCTTCTCTCCCTATCTTCCTTTCCCATTTTTTCTCTCCATCATCTCCACTTTCTTGTTCCCTCCCTCTTTTTCCATAATTTTCTTCTTCCCTCCCACTTCCTTGATTTTTTTCTGTTATCTTTTTCCCAAAATCCCAGTTGAGAAAAGCTAAGGGAAGTTTAGATTTTTCAAAATATTTAGCAAATCTCATAGAAGACGATGACGAGGGAGGAGATGTTGCTGGCACAAACGTGAGACCCACCGTCGAAGAAGAATATCACCGGAAAACGGAAAATGCCTAGAGGGGGAGAGGAAAGAACGGGAGAGAGCGAGAGATGAGGGAGGGAGGGAAGAACGAGAACGAGGGAGAGCGACAGATGAGGGAGAGAGAGAAGAACGGGAGAGAGGGAAGAGAGAGAATTGAATTTCTAATTTAATTTAATTACTTAAAAATCTATTTATAGAACGAATAATTA